TCCATAGAAACTGCTGTCTCTGGAGTGCTAAGAGATTAGCCGTGTCCCCAGGGGCATCCTGATATACAGGTGTTTTGCTGGGCAGGGAAATTGTAGAGGGGAACTGGGAAGAATGAACAAATGAATACTTCTTCCTGATGGACTGATTGCTAAAACAGAGATATGGTGGACAGTAGGAATGGGAGGGGGGAAGGAGTATTTTCTTTAGAAAAGCAGACTTCTTTAGATCCTGAACTTGATAGGGGACTCCGTTTTTGAGGATATATTTTAGTTTTTACCATTGTTGGCTTTTTTTTTTTTTTTTTTTTTTTTGAGACACTTGAACTCCTGACCTCATGATCCACCCACCTTGGCCTCCCAAAGTGCTGGGATTACAGGCATGAGCTACAGTGCCTGGCCTCATTGTTGGCTTTTTTTTTTTTTTTTTTTTTTGAGACGGAGTTTCGCTCTTGTTACCCAGGCTGGAGTGCAATGGCACGATCTCGGCTCACTGCAACCTCCGCCTCCTGGGTCAAGGCAATTCTCCTGCCTCAGCCTCCTGAGTAGCTGGGATTATAGGCACGCGCCACCATGCCCAGCTAATTTTTTGTATTTTTAGTAGAGATGGGGTTTCACCACGTTGACCAGGATGGTCTCGATCTCTCGACCTTGTGATCCACCTGCCTCGGCCTCCCAAAGTGCTGGGATTACAGGCTTGAGCCACCGCACCCGGCCATTGTTGGCTTTTATTGGATATTATTATGTGCTAGGAACACTGAAGAATATAAAATTCAGTTTCTGACTTTGGAGATTCGGTGGCACAGTACAGTATAGAGGGAAGGATGACACTGGGACATTTACACCTAGTCCAACACACCTGGGTTTAAATCGCAACTTTATAATTACCCATACCTCTCAGCCTCAGTTTCATAGGGCTGTTGGAATAACTTAACGAGATAATGCATATAAGTACCTTATCAGGCCCCCAAAATCCTTGGAAAGCATTTGTTACAAATGACAATAATTTATAGTTTAAAAAACTATCTAGGAATTTGTGTGGGGAAAAGGTCCAGCTTCTGTTCCACATAGAGCAAGACGAGAAGTTGCAATTTTCAGGATTAGTTGTGTTTATTTGGTCAAGTTTATTGAGGTATAATTTATAGGTACCAGAATTTATGCTTTTTGCATGTATACTTTGATGATTTCTGATAAATGTATACAGTCATGTAACCATTACCACAGTCAAAATATATAATATTTCGGCTGGGTGCGGTGGCTCAAGCCTGTAATCCCAGCACTTTGGGAGGCCGAGACGGGTGGATCACGAGGTCGAGAGATCGAAACCAACCTGGTCAACATGGTGAAACCCCATCTCTACTAAAAATACAAAAAAAATTTAGCTGGGCATGGTGGTGCGTGCCTGTAATCCCAGCTACTCAGGAGGCTGAGGCAGGAGAATTGCCTGAACCCAGGAAACGGAGGTTGCGGTGAGCCGAGATCGCGCCATTGCACTCCAGCCTGGGTAACAAGAGCGAAACTCCGTCTCAAAAAAAAAAAAAAAAAAAAAAAAAAAATATATATATATATATATATATATATATATATATAATATTTCTATGATCTCAAATGTTGCCCAAGGGCCCTTTACAGTCAATCTGTCTCACCCACAGCTCCTGCTAACCACTGATCTAATTTCCAACTCTGTAGTATTATATTTTTCCAAATGTTATATAAGTGAAATCTTACATATCTTACAATACGTAGTCTTTTGTGTCTAGCTTCCTTCATTCAATGCCTTTTTTTTTTTTTTTTAAAGACAGTCTTGCTCTGTTGCCCAGGCTGCAGTGCTGGATTGCAGTATTGCAATCTCAGCTCACTGCAACCTTTGCCTCCCAGGTTCAAGCAATTATCTTGCCTCAGCCTCCCGAGTAGCTGAAATAACAGGCATGTGCCACCATATCAGGCTGATTTTTGTATTTTCAGTAGAGACAGGGTTTCACCATGTTGGCCAGGCTGGTCTCAAACTCCTGACCTCAAATGATCCACCTGCCTCGTCCTCCCAAAGTGCTGAGATTACAGGCGTGAGCCACTGTGCCTGGCCAAAACTTGTCTCATTTTTTAATATAAGCATTTTACTATGACACAAATGTTGACATGTTGCTTTTTCTTTCTTTTTTTTGAGACAAGGTCTTGCCGTGTAGCCCAGGCTGGTGTGCAGTGGCACGATCTCTGCTCATTGCAACCTCTGCTTCCTGGGTTCAAGCGTTTCTCCTGCCTCAGCCTCTTAAGTACTGGGATTATAGGCATGCACCACTGTGTCTGGCCAACTTTTGTATTTTTAGTAGAGACAGTGTTTCACTATGTTGGCAAGGCCAGTCTGGAGCTCCTGAACTCAAGTGATCAACCTACCTCAGCCTTCCAAAGTGCTGGGATTACAGGGATCAGCCACGGTGCCTAGATAACCTAGACAAAACATGTCTTACTTTTTTTTTTTTTTTTTTTTTTTTTGAGATGGAATCTCACTCTGTCACCACGGTGGAGTGCAGTGGTGCAATCTTGGCTCACTGAAACCCTCCCCTCTCAGGTTGAAACCATTCTTCTGCCTCAGCCTCCTGAGTAGCTGGGATTACAGGCACATGCCACCATGCCCAGCTAATTTTTGTATTTTTAATAGAGATGGATTTCACCCTGTTGGCCAGGATGGTCTGGATCTCCTGACCTTGTGATCGCCTGCCTTGGCCTCCCAAAGTGCTGGGATTACAGGCATGAGCCACTGCACCTGGCCTATGTCTTACTTTTTAATATAAGCATTTTACCATGATACAAATTTTGATATGTTGCTTTTTAATTTTTATTTAGTGCAAAATATTTTCTTTTTTTTTTTTTTTTTTTTTTTTTGAGACGGAGTTTCGCTCTTGTTACCCAGGCTGGAGTGCAATGGCGCGATCTCGGCTCACCGCAACCTCCGCCTCCTGGGTTCAGGCAATTCTCCTGCCTCAGCCTCCTAAGTAGCTGGGATTACAGGCACACGCCACCATGCCTAGCTAATTTTTTGTATTTTTAGTAGAGACGGGGTTTCACCATGTTGACCAGGATGGTCTCGATCTCTTGACCTCGTGATCCACCCGCCTCGGCCTCCCAAAGTGCTGGGATTACAAGCTTGAGCCACCGCGCCCGGCCTAGTGCAAAATATTTTCTAATTTCTTTGTTAGTTCCTCTGATGCATAGGTTATTTAGAAGTATGTTGTTTAATTTCCAAATATTTGGGGATCGTCAAGCTATTTTTCTGTTATTGGTTTATAGAATTTTGTTGTGGTAAGATTTTGTGTGATGTTAATTACTTGAAATTTACTGGATTTGTTTGAGAGTCCATAATATTATCTATCTTGGTAACTATTCCCCATGCATTTAAGAAAAATGTGTGGGCCATGCCTGTAATCCCAACACTTTGGGAGGCTGAGGTGGGTGGATCACAAGGTCATGGAGTTTGAGACCAGCCTGACCAATATGGGGAAACCTTGTCTCTACTAAAAATAAAAAAAATAAATAAATTAGCTGGGTATGGTGGCGCATGCCCATAATCCCAGCTGCTTCAGAGACTGAGGCAGGAGAATCACTTGAACCCAGGAGCCAGAGGTTTCAGTAAGCCAATTTCATGCCATTGTACTCCAGCCTGGGTGACAGAGTGAGACTCCATCTCAAATAAATAGATAAATAAAATAAAAGAAGAGCCGGGAGCGGTGGCTCAAGCCTGTAATCCCAGCACTTTGGGAGGCCGAGGCGGGTGGATCACGAGGTCAAGAGATCGAGACCATCCTGGTCAACATGGTGAAACCCCATCTCTACTAAAAATACAAAAAAGTAGCTGGGCATGGTGGCACATGCCTGTAATCCGAGCTACTCAGGAGGCTGAGGCAGGAGAATTGCCTGAACCCAGGAGGCGGAGGTTGCAGTAAGCCGAGATGGTGCCATTACACTCCAGCCTGGGTAACAAGAGCGAAACTCGGTCTCAAAAAAAAAAAAAAAAAAAAAAAAAGCCGGGTGCGGTGGCTCAAGCCTGTGATCCCAGCACTTTGGGAGGCCGAGGCGGGTGGATCACAAGGTCAAGAGATCGAGACCAACCTGGTCAACATGGTGAAACCCCGTCTCTACTAAAAATACAAAAATTAGCTGGGCATGGTGGCGCGTGCCTGTAATCCCAGCTACTCGGGAGGCTGAGGCAGGAGAATTGCCTGAACCCAGGAGGCGGAGGTTGCGGTGAGCCGAGATCGCGCCATTGCACTCCAGCCTGGGTAACAAGAGCGAAACTCCGTCTCAAAAAAAAAAAAAAAAAAAAGAATTTGGTTCCTCAGCTGTGTGTGGTGGCTCACATCTGTAATCCCAGCACTTTGGGAGACCAAGATGGGTGGATCACCAGGTCAGGAGTTTGAGACCAGCCTGGCCAATATGGTGGAACCCCGTCTCTACTAAAAATACAAATATTAGCTGGGCGTGGTGGTTGGCACCTGTAGTCCCAGCTACTCGGGAGGCTGAGGCAAGAGAATCACTTGAACCCAGGAGGCAGAGGTTGCAGTGAGCCAAGATTACGCCACTGCACTCCAGCCTGGGCAATAGAGCGAAACTCCGTCTCAAAAAAAAAAAAAAAAAAAAAAATTGGTTCCTCAAATTCAGGGTTTTTCTGCTTATAATACGACCCATTGCGTATCAGGATTATTTGGCCTGTGAAAATAAGGGTTTGGGGAGCTGGTATGAAAATGCTGACACACTGGGTATTGCCCTTGATAAGAATAATAAACTGTCCTCTGATTCATATTTCACGTGGCTTCTACGAGCATCAGTGAAACTGTGGGTGGGGAGGGGGCTTGCTTAGCTTGCAAGTAGGGTAAAACTAAATATACTTCACAGCTCTTTTTTTTTAAGTCAAAATTGTTTTATCGTCTTTCACATATTTAATAGAAAAAGAAATGCAACAAATGGCTTGGGGTTGTATTTTTTGAAAGATCCAGGTTGGTACAGTTGGTCTATTCACATCTGGGAGCAGAGCTGTCCCCACACCAGGCACAGCAGCTGCACTTCTCCAATGCCCTTTTGCAGATACAGCCCTGGGCACACTTGGCATAGCCCACAGGGCAGCAGGAGCAGCAGCTCTTCTTGCAGGAGGTGCCTTTGCACTCTTTGCACTTGCAGGAGCTGGCACATATGCAGGAGTCACCAGTGGCACAGGGACAGTTGGGGTGCGTTTCGAGCCACGGTGAGGCTGGAGATCCCAGGAGAGAAGTTGAGAGAATGCGAGGCACTTGGAAGGCATACGTCACAGTTCTTTACATCATCTTACCTGGTTTTTGTTTGTCCTATCCCCACCTCTTCTTTTCCTCAAAATTTCTGCTTTCCTTTGGATTATTTTTATTATTTAATTTGATTTCTACTCTTAGCTTATTAGCTATACTCCATTTTTTAAAAGACTTTTACTTGACTGCCTAGGGATTACAGTATACATCTTTCTTACTACAGTTCACTTTCAGTAGTTTCTTTCTTTCTTTCTTTCTATCTTTCTTTCTTTCATCTTTCTTTCTTTCTTCTTTCTTTTTTTGATGGGGTTTTGCTTTTGTCACCCAGGCTGGAATGCAGTGGCATGATCTTTGCTTACTGCAACCTCTGCCTCCCAGGTTCAAGTGATTCTTCTGCCTCAGCGTCCTGAGTAGCTGGGTTCACCACCACACCCAGCTAATTTTTGTATTTTTGGTAGAGATGGGGTTTCATCACGTTGGCCAGGCCAGTCTTGAACCGCTGACCTCAGGTGATCCGCCGCCTCGGCCTCCCAAAGTGTTGGGATTACAGGCAGGAGCCACCACACCCAGCCTATTTTCAGTAGTATTTTATCACTCCATATATGCTATGAGAACCTTATGCCTCCAATTCCTCCCTTCATTGTGCGTTTTTGTCATTTGTTTGTTTAAGAGACAGGGTCTTGCTCTGTCTCCTAGGCTGGAGTGCAATGGCACAATCATAGCTCATACTGCAGCTTTGAACTCCTGACTCAGGTGATCCTCCTGCCTCTGCCTCTCCTATAGCTAGGACTACAGGCATGCACCACCATGCCTAGCTAATTGTTTTGTTTTTTGGAGTTTTTTTTGGAGGTAGAGCCAGGGTCTCTCTGTGTTTCCCAGGTGGGTCTCAATCTCCTGGGCTCAAGTGATCCTTCTGCCTCAGCCTCCCAAACGATTGAGATTACAGGCATGAGCCACTGTGTCCAGCCCTTTTTGTGCTCTTTTCATCATACTTTTAGCTATCAGTACCATAATACATTGTTACTATCTTTGCGGTAGGCAGTTACTGAGATTCACATTGTGTACCTGAATATTGGGTTGGGAAGTCTGTCTTAGATTTTCTGTCTTATGAATTTTTTTAATTTTAGCAAAATTTTGGACTAGAAATAATTTTTTGAGTCATTCTTTTTGAAGAGGTGTATTTTTATTTATTATTTATTTTTTGCCAAGCGGATCTTTTCTTGCCTTCTAGTTGAGATCTTTCCATACATAACTTTCCCACCCCCTCCTGAGGAAACCTGAAGGCTGATTCCATTTATGTATAGGATCCTTTCAAAGTCTTGGCTAGAGTTCAGTTTCGGGGAATTAGCAACAGGAAAGGCTGGAGGGAAGGTCAGTGAGGGCATTTCATTTTCTTCTCTTATTGTTAATTTCCTTAAGATACCTAAAGAAAAGAAAAAGTACTTTCTACTCCAATCTTTCTACCTTGTTTTAATGCTAGGGTGTTCCTTTTTTTCCCCATTCCATTGTTAAGACAGGACATCGGGGTTTTTTAAAATATATCACCCATAATCATACTTTCTATAGTAGTCATTTCCTGCTGCCCTCTAAGCTTTGTTCATAGTATTCCACTGAGTTGACACATCATAATTTATGATACATTTCCTTGTGTAGTTCAGGTTTTTCATTATTATAAATTATACCACCGTAAACATCTTTGTGCATCTTTTATACCTCGTGAAGTGTATTTCTATGAGCAGGTATCTATATTTTATAAGAGCATTTTTATAGTTATTACATATTATAAATAAGATTTAGAAAAAGAAAGACATTGGGAATATATATACCCTAGGGGAAAAGATCTTAGGACTTTGCCTAGAGAAGAATAGATAGATTGAATTGATTATAGACTTGGTGGAGACAGGTTACTGAAAGAAAAATGTCAAAAATTTGGCTATGAATTTCAACTCTGCTTTAGTATTTGAGGTTTAAATACCTCTTAACTGTTTCTTAAAATCAGTATGTTGAGTCTATTTCTGAGTTGAAATTTTGACATACTTCTTCCTGTTGTGAAATCTGTTTACAAAGATTTAGGCTGTGTGTGTGTGTGTGTGTGTGTGTGTGTGTGTACTGTGTACATGTGTGTGTTGTGTAGGAATAGAGCACCATCACCATGGAAATGAGATATTCTGTAGCTCTTCATAAAGGACCTATGCCTATGTTGTCTAATATGGTTGTCACTAACCATATGTGGCTATTGAGTACTTGAAATGTGACTACTGAGTAAGAATAAGGCTAAGGAATGTACTTTTTGGTTTAGAAAACTTTTTTTTTTTTTTTTTGAGACGGAGTTTCGCTCTTGTTACCCAGGCTGGAGTGCAATGGCGCGATCTCGGCTCACCGCAACCTCCGCCCCCTGGGTTCAGGCAATTCTCCTGCCTCAACCTCCTGAGTAGCTGGGATTACAGGCACATGCCACCATGCCCAGCTAATTTTTTTGTATTTTTAGTAGAGACGGGGTTTCACCATGTTGACCAGGATGGTCTCGATCTCTTGACCTCGTGATCCACCCGCCTCAGCCTCCCAAAGTGCTGGGATTACAGGCTTGAGCCACCGTGCCCGGCCAGAAAACTTTTAAGTATGTTTGGAAAAACAACTTAGGTATGACAATCTACTCTTCAAGCTACACATTTAATGAAACATAAAGATCAGTATTTCTGATATAAATTTAGTATCCCAAATGAATATACGGTGAGTATAAAATACACATTGGATTTCAGGCTGGGCACAGTGGCTCATGCCTGTAATCCTAGCATTTTGGTAGGCTGAGGCAAACCGACCATCTAAGGTCAGGAGTTTGAGACCAGCCTGGCCAACATGGCAAAACCACATCACTACTAAAAATACAAAAAAATTAGCCGGGCGAGGTGGTAGGCACCTGTAGTCCCAGCTATTTGGGAGGCTGAGACAGGAGAATCGCTTGAGCCCGAGAGGCAGAAGTTGCAGTGAGCTGAGATCACGCCACTGCACTCCAGCCTGGGTAACAGAGTGAGACTCTGTCTCAAAAAAAAAAAAAAAAAAAAAAGATTTAAAAGACTAAGTACAAATAAAACAACTAAAATATCACAGTAATTCTTTATGGCGAGGCGCGGTGGCTCACGCCTGTATTCCAGCACTTCGAGAGGCCAAGGTGTGCAGATAACCTGAGGTCAGGAGTTTGAGACCAGCCTGGCCATCATGATGAAACCTTGTCTCTACTAAAAATACACAAATTAGCCAGGCTTCGTGGCACATTCCTGTAGTCTCAGATACTCAGGAGGCTGAGTTGGGAGAATTGCTTGAACGTGGGAGGTGGAGGGTGCAGTAAGCCAAGATCACACCACTGCACTCCAGCCTGGGTGATAGAGCCAGAGACTGTCAGTCTCGGGGGGTGGGAAATATATATTTAATATACATACACACACATATATATAATTTTATATATATATAATTTTTTATATTGATGACATTGAAATAGTGATCTTTTAGATGTGTGATCTCAATAAAATTAAGTTAGAAATAAATGACCAATTTCTGGGAAATTAACAAATACTGGGAAACTAAATATCCTTTTATACAGTCCATGTATTAACAAAGAAACCAAAAGGGAAGTTGGGACTCATTTTGAACTGAATGAAAAATGAAAGCACAACGTATCAAAATTTGTAGGATATAGCTAAAGCATGATTCAGAGCAAAATTTATGGCATAAATACATGCATTTGAAAAGAAGGGGCCAGGTGTGGTGGCTCATGCCTGTAATCCCTGAACTTTGGGAGGCCAATGTGGGTAGATCACTTGAGGTTAGGAGTTTGAGACAGCCTCCCAACATGATGAAACCCTGTCTCTACTAAAAATACAAAAAAATTAGCTGGGTGTAGTGGCACGCACCTGTAATCTCAGCTGCTTGGGAGACTGAGGCATGAGAATTATTTGAACCCAGGAGGCAGAGATTGCAGTGAGCCAAGATCATGCTATTACACTCCAACCTGGGCGACAAGAGTGAAACTGTGTCTTTAAAAAAAAAAAGAGAAGGAAGATAGTAAATCAGTGACTTCACCTTCTACCTTAAGAAATTGGAAAATAAAGAGCAAATAAAGAGTAAGAAGAAAAAAGGAAATAATAAAAGATGAGGGCAGAAATCAATTAGGCATAAAACAAAAGCAATAGAGAAATTCAGTAGAAATGAAAGCTTTTTTTTTATTAGAAGATCAATGAAATTGATAAACCTCTAGCAGGATTGATCAGGAAAAAATAGAGGTGACACAAATTACTAATACTGGAATGAGGGAAGAGACATAACTACAGATATTACATATGTAAGAGGGCAATAAGGGGGTATTACGAGCAATTTTATGCCAATAAATTAGACAATTGAGAAGAAATATCTTGAAAGACAAACTTACCAAAATTCACTCAAGAGGAAATAATTAACTTCAATAGCTATATAACTCAAATAATCCGGATTTGTAGCTAGAAAACTCCACTGAGAGGCCCATAAAGACAACACCAGGACTGGACAGCTTCGTTATTATGTTATTCCATATGTTTAAGGAAGAAAAGCAAATACAAATTCCCCACAAAGTCTTTCAGAAATTTAAAGAAAACAGAACATTCCCTAACTCACTCTAAGTCAATCAATGCAATTTTCCACATTAACAGCATATAAAAGAAAACAACTACTACGATCTCAACACTTACAAAACATAACTAAACTCTCAACAAATTATGGTTAGTTATCTATGAAAAACCTACCTCAAGATCATGTTTAATGTTGAAAGATTTAGTGCCTTCCCTGTACAATCAGGGAGAAGGCAATGATGTCTGCTCTCACCTACTCAGTGTTATACAGAGTTATTTAACTAGTGCAATGAATCAAACAAGAAAAAGAAGCCAAGATAAGTAATAGGAAGTGGATTTACCCTTTTGACTCAAACAACTGGAAAACTAGA